AACCTCAGAAACATTGCTACCAAACTGTCACTCTTTTTACAGTAGGATGAAGCTAAGCAACAGGGTTACAAAACATGTAGAAATTGCGAGAAAAAAAACATAACGGAGGTAGGGTAGCCTGGGGTTAAGTGGGCACGGCGGGTTAACTGAACACTCGACCTAGCTGCCACCTGGTGGGCATACTCAAAACCAACTACGCGTCAATTTCATCAGTTTATAGACCCTTACTAGTGTACCTTGCGCCGAGTTGATAATCTTTGTTTTTTTTTGAAGTTATGTTTACAAACGTGTTTCGTGGGGCGAAAAGTAAATTCTCGGTGCTGTGAACTGAAGCCCAAATGACATATCTAGCTTTTGAGGAAGGCTTTGGTAAGTGCTTTATTGTTTCATCTATAGTTTTATGTACTATTTCCAGTGATTACTTTGGTAATTATTCCAATTGAGTATTATTTATGATTTTTTTTCTCTGAAATTCCGAAATGGGGTTAACTGAACACTACCAAATGGGATTAAAGAGGGCATTCCCAGTTAACCCCATTGATTACAAGTTAGCCAAAACATTCACTAAAACTTGTTTTTTGATTTTAATTGCAGTATTTTAACAACTAAAAGCAGAAAAAGGACAACCAACCATGGGACCTATTCAGAAGTCATTGAAATAAGTTTTCCGTATCTCTTAGTGAAAATGTACATAATATAAGTATTAAGACAAACAAAAAATCATCCTCAGATGTATTTCTTTAATTTTTAAGACTTTTCCACTTGTTCATTTGACTTAATAAAAGTTTCCTCTTTCAAAAGTATGCTTTTTCATCTTAGTGTCCAGTCAACCCACCCCCAGTGCCCAGTTAACCCACCCCACGGGGTTAACTGAGCACTTTCCCATTTTTTACAAAATCTAAATTTTGACCATGAAGAAATTTAAAAAATGAAACATACTATTTTTTGCAGATACCTTACATTATACTGAAGACATTGTACTTTAAAGATTAACTCTATCTATCACCAAATTTGTTTTATGATTTTTCAAACAAAATGGTACCCACTTAACCCCAGTCTACCCTAAACCCCATATATTTCCAAAAACTAGGAGTATTAAGGAGTCCAAAAATAAATATCGTTGGGTCATTTAGAGGGGGAAGAAAAAATACCCCCCGGACTACCTAGGCGTGGAATGACCCATCTCACAATGGGCAAGGCATATCGGACAGCACCAGTCTCCAAAAAATGTAAAAAAATACCTCCGGAAACTTTTGAAAAAGCATTAGCAGAAGTTAGAGGTGGCTCATCAATCAGACGTGTGGCAGGTAATCACTACATTCCAAAATCGGTCTGTCACTGCTATGTCAAACATTTTAGACTGCATCCGAATACTCCACCCCTCAAAAAAGGAGGCCAGTGCCAATTGCCGCCTTATGCGGAGGAAGAAATTTTGAAAAATTTGACTTTATGTGCTGAGTGGGGCTACCCAATGACTACGTATGACCTACGATTAATAGTTAAGCTAAGTCTTGATAGAAAAGGAATAAAGAGTAAAATATTTAAAGACAATATGTCAGGCAAAGACTTTGCCTTTACTTTTCTTAAAAGGCACAAAATAGAGATCTCCGAGAGAATGTGTCAAAATATCAAAAGAAATAGAGCTGCGATAAATGCAGAGAGTGTTAATGATCATTTTGATCACTTAGAGACAAGTTTAGCTGGCGTCCCCTCACAGAAGATTCTGAACTACGATGAAACCAATTTAGGAGACGATCCTGGTCGCAAAATAGTCATAACAAAGCGAGGATCCAAATATCCTGAAAGGGTTATGAACTCTAGTAAATCGGCAACATCTATTATGTTTGCTGCAACAGCTGATGGAACAATTCTGCGCCCTTATGTTGTTTACAAGGCAGTTTTTCTCTATGATAAATGGACCAAAGGTGGACCGCCAAGGCCCCACCATCCCCGGTACAACCACTCTAAATCAGGGTGGTTCGACGCGTTAATCTTCCGCGACTGGCTTTTGACGGTTGCCATCCCTCATCTTGAACGCTTGCAAGGTAAAAAAGTTCTGATTGGCGATAACCTTTCATCCCACCTCAGTATTGAAGCTCTAAAGCTGTGCAAGCAACACAACATTCAGTTTGTTTTTTTGCCTGCCAACAGCACTGACAAGACTCAACCTCTTGACATTGCATTTTTCGGGCCATTTAAGCGGCATTGGAGGGCAATTCTAGATGATTGGAAAGCCAGAGCTCGCCTGAGAGCAACCGCAATTCCAAAACCACAATTTCCTGGCCTTTTAAAGAAATTGATGGAGAAGGTCTTAGTTAATGGTTCAGATAATATCAAAGCTGGTTTTGAGAAGGCTGGTATACATCCGCTGGACCGACAAAAAGTTTTGGACCACCTCCAAAATAAGGCACCCGATCCAGCGGATGTAAATCAGTCTGTCCTCAACATTTTGCGCGAAATGAGGCACGACACGAATGCCCCACCCAAAAAGAGGAATAAAAGATTGGCAGTTCAGCCTGGAAAAAGCGTCTCTGCTGTAGATTTGGAATCTGCATCTGAGGAAGATGTAGACGGCAACTTCGATGAAAATGCAGAAAATGGAAGTAGCGCCTCAAGTGAAAATGAAGATAGAGAATCTTCTAGTGACAGCGAATCATCTAACGAAGAATCAGAAAGTGACGAAGAACATGAAGATGACAATGGAGATGTGGAAGTGACATTCAACAAAAAGAGGCTTGCAGGTGTTTACAGGGTTAAGGAGATGATTGGGTCCTTGTAAATTTATCAGATCAACCTTCGACTGGGTGCTTGAAGCAAACTCTATTTATTGGCATGGTGATTGATGCCTCTGGTGACGATTTGGAAGTCAATTTTGTCAAGTATGAGCCAACAAAAATCAATAATGGTAAAATTTTTGTTTGGCCATCACGTGAGGATTACAGTGAGGTCTCAAGAAGTCTAGTAATCGGTCAGGTAAAACCACCGATACTGCCGCGCCGCAGCAAAATGATGTTTTCAGTCAATGTTAACGACTAGTAAAGTCGGCTACTCATTTTACCCCTTTACTAATTTTCATTTGTTTTACCAATTTTTCTAGTTACCTGAATACCTTCTTACTTGTAGGTAGTCACATCTTGGTGCCAATGTTGAAATCGTTGCCTTCAAATGTAACTTATAGACTTCAGCGTAAGATTTTAAATTGAGATTTTAAGAATGAGATGTTTAAAGTTGCTAGGTTCCTTCTAAAATCTAGGTAAGATGCAGCTTTTCTAGTTACCTAAATACCTGCTTACTTGTAGGTAGTCACCTCTTAGTGCCAATGTTGCAATCATTGCCTTTAAATGTAACTTATAAACTTTAGCTTAAGATTTTAAATTGAAATTTTAAGAGAGAGATTTTTAATTTTGTTGCTAGGTTCTAAAATCTAGGTAATATGCAGCTTTTCTAGTTACCTAACATGTGCTCAATAATACTATTACTACCCACCTACCTATGTTCCTAATACTTATAAGTTAGATACTTAAGAGCGAATGTGATTTTGATAAATCCCTCCTGAATGTGTTCTGAAGCTCAACTTTTTTCTTATTTTTTTTTAAGACGGCAGGTTGTCATTTTTTTTCTATTTCCTAATTAATGTTTGAATTGTATTTTTGGTTAAGACGAGAACTTAGGAGAATTTGATCTCATTGAATCCCTCCTCTAGCTACTTAAAGTCAACATTTTCTCTTATTTTGCATGAAACAAGTCAGGTTATCAGCTATTTTCTACTTCCTATTTCATTTTTCAATTGTATTTATGTTAATAAAAGACACGTTTTCCCATTTTAGATTCGAATTTTATTTTTTTATTAAAACTCAGGCAGTGTTCCCATTCAATTTCTCATTAGCAGAATGGGGACATCGCCTTACTTACATTGAAATTTGCTGGTGTCCCTATTCACCCCAGTGGAGGATGAATAGGGACAGTAGGTAGAACAACAAAATTAAAGTAGTTAAAATTTTCGTAACATCAAAATTTGGGGGAAAGTAAAGGTCTTAAAAGGTCACATCTTCCTGTTAAAAAAAAAAAAAAAACCGAATTCTCGAAAGCAGTAGGCCACAGACGTGTATTTGTATAAAAAACTGTCCCCATTCACCCCATATTACGGTTTAAAGCCAGCTTTTAGTACTGATTATAATTTACAGCACAAATTTTGTCATACCTTCAAATATAAGATACAATTGGATGAAATTGATGTTTCTGGTGTATACAGAATTAATCGTAATGATTGTGATGCAGTTTACGTTGGTAAAACAACGTAATTTTAATAAAAGATACGCTGAGTATAAAAGAGATCAACAATCACAAGTGTTTAAACGTATAAACGAAAATAAGCACAATATTGGTGGTGTGCAAGGAAATAAAGAAATCATGCATGTTAGTAGAAATAAAAAAAAAAACATGTAAAGTAATAGAATGTTTCAAAATTCGCAAAGCTGTGCGAAACAATCAAAATGTTATTCACACACATGCGGATCTGTTTGCTGTTACCACACCAAACATAGATTTACTTCAGGATTTGGCAACTACTTAAAATTCTCTACCATCTCTTATCTACCGTTGATACCTGTTCATAAGTCGTACCTAGTTGTTAATTCCTCAACCAGGTTTCAGAGCAGGTAGTCGATTGTATGTCCCTATTAGCGACTTACCTACAAGCGCACTGTGTATTTTTTACTCTTCTTCTTTTCAATGTTTTGTTCTTATGTGTAATACTTTGATGATGGCTATATTGGCTGCAATGCATCGGTATGTGAGTTAATACATTTGTAGTTATATCAAGCATCTTGGCTAAAATTATTTTGGTTCGTAGGTTTTAAAGTCTTGATGGAAGTTGCGATGGATTGCATAGGTACTATCCAAATCTCAATGTTGAGAAAGCTACGGTATAGCTAAAAAGAGGGTTGGATTACAGAAAAAAAGACAATGAGGACATGAGGAATTAAAATAAAACTAAAAGGTTAAATTTAACAATATAATTACCTACCATTTACATCATAATCTTGAAATTCCTCAAAATAGCAGATGGAGGATCCGCTCTTAAGTTCATAGGGTAGTTTTTCGGCCAAGAAACATTAGCTGAAGTACTTCAGCAAAAATGAAGATTTAAGAGTAACTTCAACCCTCTCGCTTACTTTCATGAAACTTTAGGCAATAAGAGATAACAAGTAAGACTTAGCACTAATTTAACCAGTACATTTCACAACTGCGTTGTCGCAAACAGATACAAGTTTGTTTCTGCACAAAAACTTACCAAAATTTAAATTACACTTAATGTATCTCCTTTGCAGTCAGGAAAGTTAAGCAAATTTGTCATGCCTGTCTCTATAAGCTATTTGACCAGTTCTTAGTTCAAGTTCCTGACGATCCTAGAACAAGAAAAAAAAAAAAAATATGGAGATGATGACATAAAAGCCTCAATTTTAATCACTAAGCACACCAGAGTGATGGCTGTCCACTGAGTGACTGTATTTTAGCAAAGAAGTTTGGTGATGTAGCTTTTTACGGTAAAGTGAAAAGAAGAGATTGCGCCAACCTCTAATCTCTTGCTGAACACTCATTTCCCGGCGACGGCACAAGGCACACTCACTCATGCACTTTTTTTTCAGATACTTACATTTAATCAATCATTGTTAGGTTAGGTTAGATTCTTTTTTGTCTGCATTTATTTATACCTCCTCCCCCCTCATGACTTTATCAATTTTCGGGTTAATTTTCCAGAAGCCTGGTCCCTAGGGTGTCCCAAAAAAAGATCGACCCTCAAAAACCCTTCTGGTTACAAGAGTGTTCCATTTGGTTAGAAAACACTTTGGACCAAGTTTCAGATTTACAGGCAAAGTTTAAGCGCTGCCGCATCGCACATTTGTGAAATTTGCCAGCCCGATAATTGAGGTTTTTGGCGATTCGATGATTTTTTTTATTGACGAAGCAGTCACGCTAGAGCCCCGAAAATGTGATATGGTAGCCTCTTAACACACTAATTTTGATATAAATTAAACAATTGGGCGTGCGAGGCAGAAAAGTATGTTTTAAAAATTCGAAAACTTGGCCGAAAACGCTTCTCCGGCGCAAATGGGATACCTACAAATGAGCGAGTTGACTAATTTTTTAAAGTTTGGAGGAATATCGCTATCGTCGTAAACATTTATGGTAGTTGACTTCTCATAGACTACTTTTGATAGAAATTACACATTTAAGCATGGAGACCGCAGAAGTATTTTTTAAAAATTCAGAAACTTGACCAAAAACGCTGTTTTGGTGCAAATTAATATGCATTTCGGCGAAAATTGATTACTTTTTCAATTTTCGGAGAAATATCGCTGGCGTTGTATGAACTGAAGGTAGTCGACTTCTGACACCACAGTTTAAGCAAAATATGATAGTTTAGGTCCCAGAGATAGAAAATTTACGCTTTGTTAAGGGACATTACCTGAAGAGAATTATTGCGTAACGTACACTGCAAGCTATAATGTCAGCATCTAAACTATCTGTCTCTGGGACCAAAACTATTATTTTTTGTCAAAACTATGGTGTTAGAAGTCGACTACCTTCAGTTCATACAACGCTAGCGATATTCCTCCGAAAATTGAAAAAGTAATCAATTTTCGCCGAAATGCATATTAATTTGCACCAAAACAGCGTTTTTGGTCAAGTTTCTGAATTTTTAAAAAATACTTCTGCGGTCTCCATGCTTAAATGTGTAATTTCTATCAAAAGTAGTCTATGAGAAGTCAACTACCATAAATGTTTACGGCGATAGCAATATTCCTCCAAACTTTAAAAAAATTAGTCAACTCGCTCATTTGTAGGTATCCCATTTGCGCCTGAGAAGCGTTTTCGGCCAAGTTTCCGAATTTTTAAAACATATTTTCCTGCCTCGCACGCCCAATTGTTTAATTTATATCAAAATTAGTGTGTTAGGAGGCTACTATATCACATTTTCGGGGCTCTAGCGTGACTGCTTCGTCAATAAAAAAAATCATCGAATCGCCAAAAACCTCAATTATCTGGCTGGCAAATTTTACAAATGTGCGATGTGGCAGCGCTTAAACTTTGCCTAAAAATCTGAAACTTGGTCCAAAGTGTTTTCTAACTAAATGGAAGACTCTTGTAACCAGAAGGGTTTTCGAGGGTCGAACACTGTTTTAGGGACACCCTACTGGTCCCCCTAATACCATAGGCTTTCCTGTAAAAAAGTTCCTTTACACTTTTTTGCTCAATGCAAAATCAAGCGCGCTGGCAGGCTCCGAACTTTGAAAAATGAGCAAAAATTGTGTTTTTCGCGGTTTTTGCCCGATGTCTCCTGTTTTAATCGTCCGACGAGTAATTTCTGGACAAATTAAGTGAAGATGGTAAAATTTACACTTAGTGAAATGAAATGATGTAAATAATAAGGATAACCCAACACATTACAGTATGCGCAATTTTCGCACATTATACAAAGTTTGGAGTCCGCCAGCCCGCTTAATTTTGCCTTGAGCAAAAAAGTGTTTAGGAACTTTTTTATAGGAAATTTAACGAGCTTTATTTCTGAAAATAACTAATTTTATCGTCAGATCAATTTTTGGCAAATTACAGGCCATAAACCGGAAAAAAGTCCGATTGTAGGCCATTTTTGCCAAATTTGGCAACTTTCCGGTCCGAATTTAATGGCGCAAAGTTGAAATTCGGATTCAGCGTCAATAATTACATGGATATCGATGAAAACATTGCTACCCGGGATTTTTGCAGGCTCTTTTCCTTGTTTGCCTGGACTAATGCGATTACTGGCTCTTCCCACAATGAAAAAAGCTGTAAGGGATTGGAGGTTCAACTCTACTGATGAAATTAAGGCTGAAGTTCAACAGATTCTGAAAACTTTTGCTCCACACTGGAGGACTTTCAAAAAACCATGGTTAAATCGGAAGAACGGCTTCTGCTTCATTTGCGTGGGTCGGACAGGAAGGAAGGTACTTCGAGAAAGAAGAAAAACGTATGGAGTCTTTATATGAAGAGTAATTGAAAGTAAAAATCATGGTAGGATACACTTTTTTGTTACAAATAATTTCTTCAAATAAACTCACTTGAACGTCACTCGTTCTTTTCCCCAAAAGTACCTACCCCAAAATCCTGGAGGCGATTCCTCAACATGCCGCGGAAAAACGTCACATCTTGATCAATTTAATACCAAAAGAGCTCAACAAGGTCTTATTCAATTGGTTTTTACTCCGTCTGCACGAATATGTATTAAACCAATTTTTCTTTTTTCTTTTCAACACTGAAAAAGGCAAAATTAATATTTAGGTGATTTCAAGTGGCTGCCGTTATCTTCCATGCAATTCTGAGTGTGCTCGGGAGGGGGTGCTAATGATAAACTTTAGTTCGAGGACTCTAAACTTGTTTTGGTGTGATACAAAACATAGAAGAAGTTTAGGCTAATTTGTTGGAGATAAGGCTTTTTTTTTTTTTTGTTAGATTTACCGGACTATTTGGGTACTTAGAAAAAAGAAAACATTATCATGGCAATCAGGTGATAGCAGAAGATAGAGGGGGACCAAAATTACCATCTAAAACGAGGAAAATTCTGAGTTGTGAGAGGAACTAATGATGAAGTACCTTATCTCTTTTAAAGAAGTAAGCTATAATGCCCATAGGGACGAATAGGACGCCTAGGCCATAAGTCACGGTCTTCGGTGTTGCTTTATAGTAATCTTCCATATGCGCAAGTGTTGATAAGTATCTTTGAATTGCAGGGTCAAACTGTGAACAAAAGTTAGAATAAGTAGCACCGGCAATACAAAGAGACATGATACGAAGACTCCTTAGTTTGGGAAAGAAGTTTTGTTAGAAGGCTTATTCACTTTCCACAAGTAGTTTTTCACAAAATAAAAGCGTAGGACTTTTTCATTATGACTATACTTTACCCCCACTATAAAAACCATATCGACCTAGCTAAACCTCAGGATAATCGAAAGTTGACATACAATCATATCATCCTCTATAATACAGGGTGTCCGGAAGATAACGTACTTAACTTTCAGGATCGCTTTTACGGCTCAAAATAAGACTTTTTTTCCAATACACATATGCCCGAAAACGCTTCATACGTGAGCTATGCGCTTCCAAAGTTGCCATTTTTTTTCGTTCCGATTAATATAGCTCCTCGTCATTTTTTCATAGGTGGCTGAAACTTTCAATAGGGGGGGATTTTTTAGCGCTGTATTCACTTTTTGTGTTTTCAAGGACGTACGTCTTCGAAAAATGACGTCACAAGCGTGTTGCTGTGAAGGCAATTTTTACTACAAGGATTGAGAAATTGCCTACAGAGCAAGGGGCTTCGAAAATCTCGAAGCCATTGAGACGGCTCTTGACCTTTCCCTCACAGTTTTTCCAGGCTTGGGACTGGTCCGAGCATCATCTTACGAAAATCGCTGTTAGGCGGCGATATTTTTGATACCAAATACCTATCCACCAAAAAATCATACTTGGAGGCTTATCGAAAACATGGTTTCAAAGTGTGGTAGTTTCGTAGCATAAGTTTAACAAGTCATGCTTAGTAATTAGTAATTACTTGTGGATGCTCGGGGCGGTTTAACAGTTATTTTTTGTTTTTGTTTTTTCTTTGTTTTTTGCATAACAAATGGACGATATCAACGGTAAAATTGAGTGAAACAGTTCAATCACAGGTTTTGTTCAAAATGGGAGCCGTTTACAGCAACGCGTGCGTTGCATCTTTTCAAGAGAGACGTTGTCGCTTTTCTGCACATACTCACTGTTAATTGTTGACACGAGGCAACAATCCGATTCTGCAGCGTTTCTACGTTGGGAATGGGCTCTGAATAAACGAGTTTTTTCAAATTTCCCCACACAAAAAAATCTAATGGAGTAAGGTCAGGAGACCTGGGTCCTGGGTGGCCAAAACGCGAGGTGCAAATCGTTAGCAACGTTTGCGCGGCCTATCCACCTCCCAGGGTAATTGGTGTTTATCCAATGCCGCACGTTCAAACTCCAGTGTGCTGGGCACCCATCTAACTGATAAATCATACGAGTTCGCCTATGCAAATCAAGATCTTCCAAATACACGGGTAGTTCATTGCTCAAGAAATCAAGACAGTTTGGTCCGTCTAAGCGATTCGGTAGAGAATGAGGGCCGAACAGCTTATTGTCCAATATTCCAAGCCATACGTTCAAGCGAAAATCGTGTTGGAAGTGGTGTTCGCGGACAGAATGAGGATTATCATGGGCCCAAATGTGATGATTCCTTTGGTTGAATATTCCTGCCCTGGTAAATGTCGCCTCGTCTGTCCAAAATACTCTTCGTGGAAATAAGGGATGCTCCGCAGATTTTGTTAAGAACCAGTTGCGGAACTCAACCCGCCGTGGAAGATCGCTCGGCGGCAAGTTCTGGACGCGCTGTAAATGATAAGGGCGACGCCCATCAGCCCTCAGGGTTTCATGCACAGTTGACTTTGGAATTTTTAAAATCGCTGCAGCTCGACGAGTACTTGTTGGAAGATCGTTATCGAAATGCTCCAGAATTGTTGCAGTGCGATTTACATCGTAGAGGGGAGCGAAAATCCTGTATCCGCGTGTACGTAAAAATAGAGATCCCAATGAATAAAGAGTTATGCAAAAAACAAATTAAAAAACGAAAAATAACTGTTAAACCACCCCGAGCATCCACAAGTAATTACAAAGCATGACTTGTTAAACTTATACTACGAAACTACCACACTTTGAAACCATGTTTTCGATAAGCCTCCAAGTATGATTTTTCGGTGGATAGGTATTTGATATAAAAAAAATCGCCGCCTAACAGCGATTTTCGTAAGATGATGCTCGGACCAGTCCCAAGCCTGGAAAAACTGTGAGGGAAAGGTCAAGAGCCGTCTCAATGGCTTCGAGATTTTCGAAGCCCCTTGCTCTGCAGGCAATTTTTCAATCCTTGCAGTAAAAATTGCCCACACAGCAAGGAGCTTCGAAAATCTTAAAATTTTTCAAAGTTCTTTTGCGTTGAAATGACGCGTTTCTGGAAAATTTTGTAGAGTACCCTCACCCCTTAATTTTTTACGCTCTTTCACGTGCCGTAATCAATTTTTCGAAAAATCATCTACCAAAAAAGTTATCGCAATTTTCAAATTCGGGAACGCTTGTGACGTCATTTTTCGAAGACGTACGTCCTTGAAAACACAAAAAGTGAATAGAGCGCTAAAAAATACCCCCCTATACAAAGTTTCAGCCACCTATGAAAAAATGACGAGGAGCTATATTAATTTGAACGAAAAAAATGGCAACTTTGGAAGCGCATAGCTCACGTATGAAGCGTTTTTGGGCATATGTGTACAGGAAATAAAAAGTCTTATTTTGAGCCGAAAAAGCTATCCTGAAAGTTAAGTACGTTAACTTCCGGACACCCTGTATAAAATCATGAGGGTATTGCTCGACAACCTAACCCTAGGTGTGTCGGCTAGCTCTTCTCATCTACTACATCACCCCTCCCTCCGTCTTCTCAGTCAGCTACCCCTTCTCATACTGAGCTCTTACCTACTCTATCCCACTTTCCTTTCCGGCGTTTTGTGTTTTTCCCACTTACTGTACCGACCATTTACACTTTTCCGACCAAGTCCAGCTATTTAGCGACGCGTTTTTTGGTGTTATGTGTGGTTTAGCTAGGGGTTGTTTTCCTACTTTTATCTCTACTTCTGTTTTCCTTCTCATGTGATTTCACAGAATTTGTCGGTGATTCATTAGGGCATGTTTATAAAATCATTTTCTGTCGTATGGCAAAGTATAATTATTATTATAAATTTTTGCTCACAAAAATAATGTTTTTTGACTTAAACTGATTGAAGGTCGGGCCGTGGTGGAGTCTTTCAAACCTGGAGCCTGTTAAAATTGTTAAAATTTGAGAGTTGTCAAAATTTTAAAATACATATCCTACTATACTAGCAGTTGGTCATACAATTAAAAATAATAAAAAAATGAAATCGAAAAATACTGCACAAGCACATCACTTAGTCACCACCCTAAGCTTAGTAATGCTGTGGTGATATTACAGGTGTGCAGGATCGCAGCTTTCTGACTTTGGGTGCAGGGGTACAAAAAGTTCTTAGCCTTTCCCAATTTATAATTTGCCTTACCCCTAAATTTGCTATTTTGCTTTAGTGACGCCTCTACATTAGGGTGGTTCTTATTTTTCGATTTTTCGAAAATCAAATGTCCGACCCCCCTAAAAGTTGTCATTTGGTGTAAAAAGAGCCTACAAATTTCAGCCTGATCGGATCATCCTAAGTGGTGCCGCCGGGCCCGACAAGTCTCCAAGCGGGAACTTCAAATTCCGGACAATTGCGTTTTTTCGTCATATCGCGAATTTTTTTCTCCCCCTTAATATGTAGCTATGGCTTTAAAATTTTTGGAGGTAACACACTTTTTAGGCTACTTTACGAAAAAATAACACAATTTATCCCACTACTTTTAAAATGCTCTCTTCTTCCCCTCAAAGTGGCCACATCGTCCGATTTCGCCGATTTTTCTTAACATTCTCCCCAAACGGTGTGCCTTTCTTCTACCTTTAAATAATCGCTACGGCTTTGAACTTTGTTGAGGTAACAGACTTTTTAAGGTACTTTACGAGAAGAATAACACAATTTACCCCACTACTTTTAAAATGCCCTCTTCCTCCCCTCAAAGTGGCCGCATCGTCCGATTTCGCCGATTTTTCCTGACATTCTCCGCGCACGGTTTGCCTGAACGAATTTAAATTTTTTGACAAATCAAAAGCAATGACGCTTCAGATTCAAGAAATAGAGTGTCTGCCGAGTTATTTAAGCCAAGAAAAAAAACAATCGGTCGAGCTCCTGGAAAATAAAGTCGACTTAAAGGTATTTTATGGCTAAAAGGGGCAACTTACTTACCGATGGTAAATCCCGTTTCATCACTGAAAATAAATTTCCTCGTTAGTTACAATGCCTCGGTTTCTTTGATATGGTTTTTTACATCGATACATATCGATACATCGATTTGCTTTATCGATTTTTCACGATTTTACAGGGAATATTGGTGGTTCCGATATTTGTCAGTATCGATTAACAAAAGAATTATTGTTCCTTGTAAAATCGTGAAAAATCGATGAAACAAATCAATGTATCAATATGTATCGATGTAAAAAATCATATTAAAGAAACCTAGGCATTATAACTGCCGAGGAATTTTATTTTCAGTGATAAAACGTTACAATGCCTAGGGGCAATTATTGGAAGCTGAGGTTTGTACTAGCAAAGATTGAACATCTTAAACTGAATGAGCAAACTTTTTGAAGTCCTTTCAAATCACTTTCTGTTGGATCAAATTGATGCCGCAAAAAAGCCACAGTTTCGAAAACAGAGGGATGATCTGTCCTGTTATTATCGCTGAAGCGTCAGTTGTTAAGTGTTCAAAGAGGAAGTAATCATGCATTTCCTCTACTGTTTAGTCACCTTGCCACTTTTTTTTTGGAAGACTTACTTCGTTTTTTAGAAGTAAATTCAGTCAGTGTTTTTTCTTTTCCTACGGAGCTTCTGTTACAGTATTTTAGAAGAAAGGAATGATGCTGTTTCTAATTGTTTGGCGCTTGGGACCATTCCCATTTATTTTAGTAAAATTAATTTTTTTTTTAAAAAAAATACGATTTATTTTTTTTTTAAAAAAGTCCACATCATGCTCTTTCATTGTTCATAAGTAAGTACCACTTTAATGAGACATTACGTCGACATCTAAAATGTAAGAATATGAATAAAAATATAATCTTTAATGGAAAAAAGGAAAAAATCCCATGCACCTATCGCGACTTAGGAAACGCTGAATTTACGGTAAAGAATAAGGGGGAGGGGGAGCGGTTAGTAAAGTAAAGTATGAATTTTGGTCAAAATGAGTATCAAGATACAATTAATGGTACGTTTCATGTTTAATTTTACTTTGTCAGCTGAAAACATCGTCATAAGACAACAATACAAAATCTTGAAACTCTTGCGTTTTTGGCCGATTTTGAGGATTTATAACAAAAATGGAAACGCACGATGACACGAACAAAATTTGTTCTTTAAAGTGCTCTAACATGTGCTCTTACTGCGAAATTTTCAGAGCCCTAGCTCAATTACAATGTTGTTCAAAAAATCGTCAAAATAGGCAACATGCAGAATTTTGCCCATTTTGACGATTTCGGGGGGTGGTTTTTGGCCGTGCGCAACCCTTAAAAAATTTTTTCTTTAAAAAAATCTTATTTTTATAAGTGGGGTCAACGATTTAGAGGGTACCATCATCAAAATTCGGAGGTGACCCTCAAAGTGGGAAACCCTACTAAGGATGGGCCTCAGCGCAGTTAGTTTTGACGCACTGCTTGCAGCAAAATGATTGTATTTGACAGTTTTTCATTAACCTCAAAACAGGTCTTCTGAGGTTGAGGAAGCTAATATATCTTACAACGTGAAAGAAAATAACATAAAATACTTGGTTCTTTTTAGCCCTTAAGAACTATTTTTGACAATTTACACTGTAACCAAAATCACTCAAGTATAGAACAAAAAATACACTAATTTTCTTCAAAGCTCGAGTAAATTTGGAAACCAGTTTAAACTGTCAAAAATAGTTCTTAAGGGCCAAAGACATTGAATCACGTAGACCGTGCATCCTGTGTTACGGAAAGCGAGACAACTTTTGAAAATTCGCATGCCGATGAGAGTTTGCGCCGACCCGCATCGATGAGTTAGTGTGTCCCAATAGCGCACACCTGCGCATACGCAGTAGCGGCTTCAGTGAATTTTTGTCGGATTGTAAGACTTTTTTCCTCGGTTAATAATTAGTTCAGAAACATGAAACAATGCTATTCGGGTGTAAAATTATGTGTTCTAAAGTTTTTCTTCTTAGGAATTTTGTCTGAAAATGGACTCTAAACGAGATATTCGTGAAAAACCGAGCGCGGGCATGAATTCTCCATTGCCTCTCTGCAGTCTCTTCGAGTGCTTAGGACACACGCTCTCTCCCCTTCTCCGCCCGCCCATCATGCACGTGAAAAAATTGAATTGCTGATTCAACAATTCAATTGCTAAAAACAGTGAGTGCAATGTTTCAATGTATATTTTACAACAAAAAAATGCTACTTTAACCACCCCCGTGGATAAATTAGTTTACAATGTGGTTAGAGTAGCATTTTTTTTGTTGTAAAACCTACGTTGAAACATTGCACTCACTGTTTTTAGCAATTGAATTGTTGAATCAGCAATTTATTTTTTTCCGTGTGGGGCTCCGTGAGACTTGCTTTGCTCCGCCAGTACTAGCCGAGCCGGACGCACAACCAACATGGTTCAATGTCTTCGTTAAGGGCTAAAGACAACCATTGCATATTATAATATATATATTTCCTTACAAGTTACAATATACTAGGGGGCTATGCCCCCTGGCCGCTACGCAGCCCAACCCCCTGAAGACGCTCCGCGCTATCAATGGGCCGCTTCGCGGCCCTATTTTTTCTCTCCTGCCAGTGTTGGTTTTATTTTTCCCTTAAAAATTACGATATGAGGTATACTTTATCTTTAGAGTGAAATGATTTTTGTTTTTGATGAATGAAGAAAAAAAAACTTTTTGGAATTCAAAAGGAAGCGTTTTAGAATGACTGATCAATGAGACATTGCAGTAAAACATCGAACAATGATAATCAGGTAATAATTAAGAAATTGCGGAGTCAGGAATCGAACCCACATCTTGCAACATGTGGGCGCATCCGACGTCTTAGACGACTCGGCTATCGCTGAACTTGAGACGATGGGGCGAATCTTGTGCTCATAAGTAGAGCTGATGCGCAGGCTATTCAGCCACTGCGCAACCTCCTCGACCACTGCCCATCCTCCCGCGCATAGCGGTAGCAGTCTCGGAGCATTCTGTAAATTCGCTCACTTTTATAACATGATTTTAAAAAACCTGGGTCCTATTTCCAGAATCTGATTAGAACAGGCTCATCTAGGGCCAATTACCTGTCGATTTACGCAAAAATCATGGAAATCGGCCCGGTAGAACGCTCAAACGAACTATGACAAAAAGTATAAATTTACATTGTTTAAATGGGAGAATTCGCAACTTTACTACGTAATATAAAAAAAACCTGGGCCATATTTTGAAAATCTGAAAAGAGTTGGCTTTCCATTAGAACGCTCAAACGAACTATGACAAAAAGTATAAATTTACATTGTTTAAATGGGAGAATTCGCAACTATACCACATAATATAATAAAACCCGGGTTATATTTTGAAAAACTGAATAGAACGGGCTAATCTAGAGACAATTGCCTGTCAATAGCCGCAAAATTCATGAAAATCGGCCCGGTAGAACGCTGGAACTAAGTGTTACCAGTTACACAAAATTAGGAGGTCTCGGAGCTTATAGTATAGATATTAGTCTCCTCAGTCTCCGAAAACCTGTTCTGAGGTTGATGAAAAACTATCAAATACGATCATTTTGTTGCCTGATTGCTAGAAGGACCCTGCACACCTCTTATGGGAAGCTGCACCACGACCGATTGCCTTCTGACTTATGTTTTTCGATTCTCCTCAAGATGCTGATCAAAAGTTATAATTACGCCAACTTTCTACGATGCACCGTTTTCGCAAAAAACCTAAGAGAAGATTCAATTATTCGGCGACTATGAATAAAAAAGAACAAAGCATTTGAGGACAGGCCCGATGTAAATAAGGAAAAAACGTAGCGCTTGTCCGTCTTCTTATCTGTACCTGCCGACTCAGAGGCTATCTCTCTCCCGGTAGACGTTCAGACTTTCCTGTTCTTATGCTCCTCAAGAATCTGATTTGGATGGTCGAGCAAAACGGCAAGCGGGATCCGAGATAAGACTGCCGCTCAGTGCGGGAGTTCCCCTGATTTGTTCACTCGAGTACTGAAATAAGGAATCTTTCTGGCTTTTTATCACCGAATAATTGAATCTTCTCTTAGGTTTTTTGCGAAAACGGTGCATCGTAGAAAGTTGGCGCAATTATAACTTTTGATCAGCATCTTGAGGAGAATCGAAAAACATAAGTCAGAAGGCAATCGGTCATGGTGCAGCTTCCCATAAGAGGTGTGCGGGGTCCTTTTGTGTGTCAACTGGATGAGACAAGATTCAGGAGAATGGAGTTATGTGATTGGTCTGTGCTCTGAGCTGTGCATCTTGTCATACCAATAGAGGATGTAAAAACAAAAAGCTAGATGCACCTCTTGAGTTACCAATACCTTATCCATTCCTTCAAATCCCAGCGTTCGTCAGCACAACAAAACGTACGACCTGCTGCATTGTCCCCTCACAAGACTCCATTTTCCTTAATCTTGTCTTGAGGTGATCCGTCAAGCTTTCCGACGTGATCGGACTGGCAAGTGATACGTCACATCAATTGGGTGAAAATCTTGGCAGATTTGAATTAAATAGGATAAAAACCCTTACGCATGAGCCTAGAAAATCATTTCAAAACCAAAAAATTGGCAAAATTCAGAGAAATGAAAGCAGAATCCTGTTTGGAAGAACACCTCGCATTCGATACTACAGAAATAAAACTGTAGAATGTGAGGTGCTTCTCCAAACAGGATTCTGCTATCATTTCTCTGAAATTAGCCAATTATTTGGTTTAAAATGATTATTGGGCATAAGCACAGGGACAGTCATCCTTTATCTGGCTAAAAATTCAAGACCTGTCGAGATTTTTGACACAACCAAGCAATATATCCCATGCCAGTTCCAACACGCCCGAGAGCTTGACCGAGCACCTTAACTGGACACCAAAAAAAATTTCAACAGTCAGACTACGGGCGATAAAGAATTGTTGGCAATGAGATTGGGTAAGAAACGTTAATGGCATTATCTGCGAAAATAGAAAAGTGATGCTTCCTTAGGCCATTCATTTGAATATTGAGTAAGTCAGGGAGTAGGTTTACTCACGATTGACCCTTCCTGATGAACAGAATATGGACTCAATTTCTTCCTGAAAAATTCCTCTCGTAGTTCTTCTCTTCGTTTATTTTTAAGTGCGACCAATTTGGGATCAGTCAGGTATTTGATGGGCTCCTTCAGATGTTCAAAAGGTTGCGGTGACATTATTCAAGGAGAGGATAAGTTTCTATTCTTCAAAACTAAATTATAGAACAATGCTGTAGTGCTCGAATTCTAATCAAACAATGCAAGGTAGATTTACACACCCGTGTGAATCTATCAGAACGCCATCAGAACGCCGCTCTCCAGCGGCCCCTTAACGTCAGCCATTTTGAATGTTTTGATTCTTTTGATTTATTATGTTCGGTTTATCGTTTGTCAAAATTTTGTGGGATTTTTTGCACAATTTTGATAATGCTATATTAATTTTAACGTTTAAACGCACAAACGTTTGAATGTTAATTTGATTGTAATTTAATTAAAAAACGGGCCCCTTAACCTACGTCACGTAGTCATGTGACACGTACTGAGGCTCATGGGAAATTTTCAACTTTTCCATACCTGTGTAAATCTACCTTGCAAACAATGTAGTCAAGGTCAAAGCATAGAATAATAAAGCCAAGGCGGATAAAGAATGGTCAGAGACAGAATGGTGGTCGCATTTCGTACCCTCTGGACGTCACACGGTATCGGGGTACATCGGGTACATGGGCTGGCCGAGGCCGGGGGGGCCGACTCAACCTCGGATTGCACGGCAAAACCCGTACCCTCCTGACGTCACAACGCTTCAAGATGGCAGCCAAAATCAACGAACTACACCTCTAAATGGCATGGCTGACTTATGGATGTAAACAATAACATTACAACAATCCAGCAAACTCGGCAGCGGTCCACAGCAGCCGAAAACCACCTGCGGGAAGCTACCAATGAATTCTGCCAATGAATGTTGACACCAGAAGAGAAACATCTGAGGCACCCGGTGGCTGTCGTTCAGGGGTTCTCAAACATGCATTGCAATGTTTCCAAGGTGCGCCGCTAGGCGCTATATAACCTTAGTTTCTTACGTGAAGTCCAGCCAGCACGTTATGTACATTGTACATACATACATACGTTAAAGAATTACTTGTCAATATTACTTGCAGTAACATAGTAACGAGTAGTTGCATAGTTTGAATTTATTCATTGCGGGTATTTAGTAATCCATCATTTAGGCACTGGTATGCATCTTTACATAATTTCAGTTCAAAATATTCACAATTTCTCGAGTTTTCACGAACCCGCTCCCCCCTCCCGAACCGCTATCCCCGCCAATAAAAAATATATAAAAGGCCGCT